AATTGTTGTTTTAGTTCCCCCAAACAAAAATCACTTCTGACTAAACCCTGGAGCATTTCTTTTGAAGCCATTATTAGGAAACATCAGTAATGACAAGCCCAATAATTAAAACCAACTGCCGCGCTGTCCTCGAGATATAAACATGGCCCCGGGTCTCTCTGTGTCACTGCACAACCAGCAAAATGAACTTGGCTCTTGACTCTAAGGAGAGGAAAATAAAAAGTGTATGATTCATCCAGCCTCTTTATCTGTGGATCTTTATAAATAATCTCAAACACTCATCAAGACCTACATGAGTCAAACACCCACCTTTGGCCCACCTGGCAGCCAACGCAGAAAGAAAACTACTCATCTAACTCACAAATGGCTGCTTTTTTCCCAGAACGAAGGACGAGTAACAAAGGCTCTCGGCACTGCAGATGCTCTGGTCTACACTAGGCATGGGACACAGCACAGATTCAGAATGAGCTGTGACCTTGGGTCCAAAAAAGAATATGGCATTGACCTTCAGGCAAGAAGCTCCACGTACCAGGGAGAAACAAACATGTTTAAATGATCACAACTCAGAGTGATTACTATCACAATGAAAGAAGAAAGGATAAGGTGAGTTGTTGAAAGGAGAGGAGTGATTAACTTTGTTAAATAAATGAAATTCTAGGACTGGGCTCTATCCCTGAGACGAAAAACATTACAAAATAGAAATGAAATTCATCATGTACTACTTAGATTATGCTTCACAGAATCATCCTATACTTGGGCTGGGAGAGCCAAGGTGATAAATTAATAGCGAGCCTCTGTTTCCAATTAGAGAGGGATTTAAATGAGATAAGCTCGGAATCCCCTCAGGTTTGACTTTGACTTTCTCACATGCAAAGCTCTGTATTGTTAAGACCATCAACTACTGAAGAAAAGAGATCAGTAAGGACTCAATTGCTTTTTGACTTTTAATTCCACTCAAACATAAAGTGAGAGCTTGTTTCCTAAGGTCCAGGAATCTTCCAAGGTTTAGGGCTCTTGAGTTTGCTTGATACTGCAGGAAAAACACTTTGAGAGGCACTGTGCTTGCATAGAAAACATGTTGTTTCTCTTACTGTGGTTTTTCCAGCGGTTGGAACAGGTGCCGGAGCTCATCGAAGCTGCACACAGGCAGCGGCCAGGGGAGCAGGTTGGAAGGACAGAGCAGCGTCTCCCTTCTGTGGCATATGCTAGTGGGGTCCCGTCTGTGGCCCTCCTCTCCTTGTTATCATGTCTTTCTAACTCATGCAAACTGCCTGCACAGCTACACAGTTTGTTCTGCTAAACTGGGGACTTTTTCCTACTGTAAGGAAGGAATGGGATCAAAAACCCAAGATACTATATTGCTATGGTCTAAATCAATGATGGCAAACCTTTTAGAGTTTTCAGTGATACAAACAGCCTGGCGTGGCACGTGTGCCATAGGCTCCCCACCATTGGTCTAAATGTTCCTAGCCTAACCAAGGCCCACGATGATGGTATTGGGAGTGGCACTGTGGGGCTTTCATTAAACCCTGAGGGCGAAGCCCTTGGGAATGGTATCAGTCAGGGTTTTATTGGAGAAACAGATATAACACAGGATGTACAAATTATAAGAAATTACAAGATTGGCTTACGATGGTCAGCCAGAGAGTTGTATGAGGAAGTGTGCATAGGGTGTCTGCACACTGAAGACCGAAGGAATCAGTTCAGGGTCTGGAGTTCACTGCAGAGTTCCGTGCAGGTTCACTGCAGAGCTCCATACCAGGAGGCCGATGAGTCTGCAATGGAAGGCTTAAGGATCCAAGGTGGAAGCCAAAGAGTCTGCACTAGCAGCCAGGAGACTAAGTCCAAGCTGAAGGTGAAGACTGGAGCTGCTTCAAAAGGAATGGAAGTTCCTCTGTCCTTCTTCATTTTCCTTTTATATTATCTAGGTGATGATCCACCCTAGGGTGGCTCCTCTACACCCCAGGGTGTAGAATTGCTGAGCCAATTGCTGGGCCAAGTTTAGTTATGCTTCTAAATTTCTCAAGTTGACATGATCAATCAACCACTACAGGAATGGATTAATGCCTTCATAAAATGAGGCTCCAGGGAGCTCTCACACCCTTTTTCCAACAGGGGACACAATGAAAGGAAGGCCAAATGCATCTCAGAAGGGGTGCTCAACAGAGCATGGCCGCACCCCCGAATCCCAGACTTCCAGCCTCCTGAATGTAAGAAATAAATTTCTATGGCTTATATGTCACTCAGTCTATGGTACTTTGTGAATTAGCCTGAAAGAACTAAGACAGATGTACATCACTGTCTTGTGCGTGGGTCCCTAGCTTCTCAGGGTCTGGAGGAAGACTGTGAACCGCAGTGAATGAACTCATCTGTCCCTGCACATCGATGTCACATTATTAACCACAGTGTCCTCGGCTTGTGTAAGTGCCATGGCTGTGTTGTCCTCACACTTCAGAAACCTCCCAAAGCCAGAGGACTCATTATCAAGCTTTCCTTTGTCAAGTTTCCCTTTTTCCTTCCACATTGAAAGAAAAATTAAACAGAATGTCATCCATGGGACATAAAAAATTGAATCAGCAAAGACCAAAAAAAACAAAAAAACAAAAAAACTTCAAAACCCCAATTATCCATTGAGTCATTGTGAAAAGTCTATCTTAAAACCCAGTCTCAAGGAATACCAAAGTTATAGTGAAATTTTTAATAAACTATAAAGGATAGTGTTAAAGAAGAGACCTTTTCAGAGAGAAGCTGGCTACAGACAGGCTCCTAAAGCAGTCGTCATCAAAGGGCATGGTGCTGCTAAGGTGACTACCGGGTGAGCTGTTGTCTCTTTAGAGGAAGTTGAAACAGAAGACTCAAGGAAAGAGCCACAGCAGGGTTTTCAGAGCCCTTTTCCTCTGGATTTAGACATCCGATGATTTCATCCAGTGCCATGGGTTTAAATAACACTTATGTGTCAATGAGTCACAAATGTATAGCTCTAACCAGACTTTGTTCCTCACCTCCAAACCTGTGTACCCAGTTGTCTAGTCAACATCTCCACCTGACAGTCTAACAGCACTCAGACTCCACAACCCAAAATGCAATCCCAATATTCCCCCCGAAACCTGCCCCAGCTCAGCTGATGGCAAACCCACCCTTGCAGGAGCTGGCCCTGAGACCTCTGGTTCATCTCTTGTTCTCACACCTCCCATCCAATCTATGGGTAGAACCCATTGGCCTCACCTTTGATGGAGGCCCAGATGAGCCCCCTTCATAACACCTTGGCCACTTCCATCCTGGCCTGACCCACCATTATCGTTCAGCTGGATTCTGTGGAAGCCTCCACACAGATCTCTCTGCCTCCATCTTCACCCCCCTCCACCCAGCTTCCACTCAGCACCTGGACAGAGCCCTTAAAAGCTCAAGTCAAGACATGTGCTCCTTGTTCAGAAACCCCCAGCATCTCATCAACCACGGAGCACAAGACAGAGCCATTATGAGGATTTCTTTGGCCTCACAGTCCCGGAGCTTTAGTCCATGGTCAGCTGGCTCCAAGGCAGAAAGAAACATCACGACAGACAGGCACGGCAGAGGAAAGTTGCTTACCTCATGGCAACCAGAAGCAGAGAAAGAAAAGAGGAGAGAGAGAGAGGATAGAAGAGGGGTGGCTGGGGTCAGCACACACCATTCTAGGTCATGCCCTCAGTGACCCACCTGATCCAACCTTTCCCACTTTCAAACAGCACATTCAGCTATGATCTAATCAGTGGATTAGTCCATGATGAGGTCAGCACCTGCATGATCCAGTCACCTTCTGAAATCCCATCTCTCAACACACATGCCTTTTGGGGAACATTTTATTTCCAAGTCATAATAATAAGCAAAAATACTTTAAGTTTCACAGAAGAATAAACTTAGCTTGCCCTTGCCCTTGCCCTTTGCCTCTATAATATTAAGGTGAGAAGCAGATAGAAACACATCCAAATGAACTTTTCAGAGAAAAATGTGGTGACTTGAAAGTTTTGCCTTCCCATGTGTTCCTCCTGTAATAGGGGACAGCTCAGCACCATGAATTCTGCAAGGACTCAGAAAACAAAGTATTTGGGGATGTTCCCTGGGGAAGGCAACTGCTCGGACTTAGGTTTTAGAATAAGCAAAGATGGATCAGAGTGTTTCAGAACCGAGGATTGGGGACATCGAGGCTGGAAAGGCAGGGAATGGTGTTATCAATGCCAATAATGGCTTCCATGTGTCAGATGCTCATGAGGTCAAATACGGCACCAAAATCTGCAGGTACATTTAGTCTTTTGTCTAATACTCAAAATAAGCTAGTTATAGCATGACTCCCATTTCACTGATGAGAAAACCAAAGTTCAGGAAGTTCAAGCAATTTTCTAAGATAAACTCATTAGTAAGACGCAGGGCTGGAATTCTAAGATATAGCTCAAGGAGCTCCAGCCCCTTCATAATATCTTTAATTACTTATTACTTTTATGTTTACTATATTTGCTAGTTGCTCTAAAAGCATGTGGTCTTTGAAATAAAACATCAGTACATCTTTTTCCCCAATTAAAATCAATCCAAAGACATAAAACACATTAATTCACAATGCTAAACAGGAAAAGACTGGTCAGGATGTTTCAGAAAGAGGCTCCCATAAAGAAAGCAGATAAGTCAGTGTCAAATTGTATTCAATTTAGTATTTTTAAGAATCATGAGGCAGAGCCTAAGATATATTTATAAGAGCACCCTGTACCAGTGTAATCACATAACACTTACAAAATTATACTCCAATAACATGGAACCAAATATGTAAAGGCAGGAACTCCTAGGTAGAAATAGCAGAAGCTGTTTAAAGTAATGGGGATGGGATGTTTTAGCCTACAATAATCAGTCTACAGTGGGTTACTCAAAACATAAATTCAAGAAAGGGCTGTACTTCCACCTCCACAGCCATTGCTACCCCTTCTCCGGCCAGACTCCTGCCCCGACAGGTGACTGAGAGAGCAAGTCCTCACCTGGGATGTTGTGTATGGTGATGGCCAGGATGAGCAGCGTGATTCTCCTCCAGCTGCTGCTGCTGGGCTGAACCAGGTGCTCCCGAGAAGGTGCCAGGGTAGCAGGGCCCTCTGTGGGGCCGCCAGCCATCACCTTCCTTCTCTGGTACGCATCGCCGTTCTCGCTCTTGTCTGAGCAAAAAGAGAGGGAGAGGTAGAAAGAGGTTTGAAAATGCATACATTGACACTTGGGCAAGCAATAGCAAATGGAAGCTTTCAAGACCTAGAACATTCTACTTCTACACTGGTGGTTCATTCATTCACCTGCAGGCAGTTATGCAAGAAACACCAGCTGGATAGACATTCAGTGCCTAGTGTACAGGTACGGTAGCAGAAAGGATAAAAAGATGAAAATTCAGAGTCCTAGCCATGCATGATAGTACATACCCATAATCGCAGCACTGTGGGAAGCTGAGACAGAACAATCATAGGTTTGAGTCCAGCTCCGGCAACCTAGTGACTTAGTGAGACAGTCTCAAAATAAAAAATTTAACAAAGGGCTGGGGGGTATAGCTCAGTGCAAAGGCCCTGGGTCCAGTCCCCGGTACTGCAACAAGCAATGCACACAGGACGGGAAGTGATTTTGTATTCTTTCTTTTCTTTTTGGTGGTACTGGAGTTTGAACCAAGACCCTTCACACTAAGATACATCCCTGACCTTTCACTTATTTTTCCCCCAGTACTTTACTTAGGAACATTTTTGTGAGACAGAGTCTTGCTACATCACTTGAGTTGCCCAGGTTGGGCTCAAATTTTTGATCCTCCTGCCTCAGCCTCCCAGAGTACTGGTATTATGAGCATGTACTACCACACTTGGCTGGTTTTGTACATTTTAAGTTAATGATATGTAGACAACTCAGGCTGCGTTGGCTGGTCAGGAAACTGATAAACATTTGGGATTTCAGGCACTGATAGGTATTAGGGACATAAACAGGGCAGTTCCACATGTAGCCCATGAACCAAACAGGATTGGGGCCCAGGTGCTCAGCTTTGTCCTGGACTTCTAGTGAACACTGTTGATTCTTTGGGCTCCCTCTAAACCCACAGGCCTGCCTCAACTGCTCTCATGTACAAGTTGATAAGAACAAAAACAGGGCTCTGGGATGTAGCTCAGCAGCACAAGTGCCTGCCTGGCAAGCGTAAGGTGCTGAGTTCAATTCCCAGTACCAAAAAACAAAATAAAACAAAAAACAAAAACAAATTTCTCCTTAGCAGATTTTATAGCATAAGGGAAGACAGACAGGGAAGACAAACAATACCTTTGCACCTAAAGGGCGGGATGCACATTCTCTACCAAGCACCTAAAGTGGTACTGATTTTTACCAATGCCACCAAAACGTTGGAACCTGAATGCTGGGCAGGCAAGACACCCAGAGCTGGGAGAAGCCATGAGCTAAGCCAGTGTCGAGTTCCTGAACATAACAGGAGCAGCAGGAAGGGAGTCAACCAGAGCAAAGACACAAGCCTGGCCTTGGGATCCCAATGAGGGAAAACAGTGCTAGGGCTAGGTACACTGCAAAGGTGAGATAAGCCACCACCTGGTAACAGCCATGACTGAGTCCACAGTGAGGAAGATTAGTCCAAGCAAATCACTGGTGAGCCCAGGAGGCATCCAGAGTGGTGGGTGCTCCACACCTTTCCCCGTAAGGTTGGTAAAGACTCTGCGGTGTCCACGGAGATGAGTGCACACGGCAGCTGCCAGGCACACGGGGTGGGGCTGGGGGTGCCAGAGCCAAGTGACACAAGACATCCTGACATGGCAAAGGTGCAGGCGCTTTCAAAGTAGGGCTTGGCAAAGCAAAGTAGGAAGGATATTTAGGCATGACGTGGTCTATGTCAAACACAAGTGGAAACCTCTGCAAGGCTGGTGGATAGGTGACATTGGGACCTGCTCTCCAACTCAGCCTGGATCCTTGGAGGCTCATTTGTAGAGATTAATCTCCTTTCATAAAGGAGGACACTGAGGACCAGAGAGGTAGAGCAGGTTGTCCCAGGTCACACAGCCAGTCCACAGGGGTTCATGGGTCCTTTCCCTCCAGAAGTCACTCTCTCAGCAGGGGTCTCAGGTTGGGTAGAGTGGCATGGAGACAGGTGGTTAATCTGTGCATTTTCTCACCAAAAAGGGTAGGTGGGAGTAGTCACCAAGGTGAGATACCCACATGACAACAGAGGGGGCACTCAGTAGGGATCTTGTATCTATACTCAACTCCTGCTCAGGACAAACCTGAAAACAATGCAGAGAAATGATGTTTCTTAACCATTTATCCCAGCTATTTCTAATTGGAAAGTGGCTTGAAGTAGGAAACATTTATCAATGCCAAGCCAGGTTATAATTCTTTCAGGAAGGTGGAAAGAAAAGCCTTTTTGCCCTTAGAAAAAAAATGTTGCCCATTATACAATATGTAGAATTGAGCATCTAAGAATCCAGAGGCAGAAGGGAGCCACTGGGGAGGAGGGTGTCAGTCACCTTCCTTTGCACTCAGACACTGCATTGCCACATGTGCAGAGGAACGGATAGATGCTCCTGGCTCATTCTGAATCACCAGGTGACTTCTTTGGATACAGCTGCTTTCCTCTTCTCCCAAACAGGGGATGTGATTCTTTCTCCAGCACATCAGCAGACAACTCCCACTGGAGAGGTGAGCAAATCTGCTGCCTAGGAAGCTCCACCCCTCTAATGACACAAGCCGCTGGGGTCCACCCATTCACAATTCTGAACCATCTTGGATCAGCAACTGCTTTTTTTCTTTCTTCCTTTCTTTCTTCTTTCTTTTTTCTCTCTTTCTTCTTTCTTTCTTTCTCCCTTTCTCCTTTTCTTTCTTCTTTCTTTCTTTCTTTCTTTCTTTCTTTCTTTCTTTCTTTCTTTCTTTCTTTCTTTTTGTGGTACTGGAGATTGAACCTAGGTCAGTGATGGTGAACTTTTTAGAGCTTTCAATGATATAAACAACCCACCGCAGTATGGTTACCATAGGTGTACCACCACTGACCTAGGGCCTTCACGCTGAGCTACAACTCACAGCCCTTTTTATTTTTCACTCTAAGAAAGGTTCTGTGAAGTCTCTAAGTTGCCTAGGCTGCACTCAAACTTGTGATTCTCCTGCCTTGTATCCTCCTAAATAGCAAAGATTAGTAAACTAACACAAGGGGCTAGCAACTGCTTACGAATGCACAAGGTAAGTCATAATCCACTCTGCAGCAAAAGATATACAGATGGCTTTGAAACTAGTTTTGAGTCCTTCTAGATTGAAGGAGCTCAGAGTGAGAACATCTTGGGAGGTAAATGCTCCATTAACCTTCACTTTCTAAGTCCTTGAGACCCATCACATGAAGACACAGAGTGGCCATGGTTCCTAGGATGATGGACTGCTTAAATCAAATGGGCCCAATAATGGAATCTCAGGGCTTTGATGAATATGGTGATACTAATTAACAGATCAGATCAGAAGACAGCTTAAACAATATCTCCCAAGATGTGGATATGATGTGGTTGGATTAGCACAAGTAGGCAAATCTGCCTCTCCCAAATGCGGACAATTCATATTGCTGGAGAAATATTCTTTTAAAACCCATTACAAAGCATGCAATAAAGAAGAGTCCAATGTCTATTCACTATACAGTAAGTACATAGAAACAACACCAAAGACCAACAAAAAGTATAGAATAATCTATTTACTATATTTTTTCCTCCTACTTGTTTCCCAGAAATTCAGCATAATTTGGGAGGAGGAATTCAGGTATCAACACGAGCAATGACAATATTTGACACATATTTGGTTCTGATTCTTTAATCATATATAAATTAGAGTTAGTACACATCTGGGGCTGTGGGGCCACTCCTCACCCACCTGAGTTTGGGTAACACTTCAGGGCCAATCCTCCTTCCTTTGTCCTAAGAGAAACATAAATAAAAATAACAAACACCCAGGAAATCTCTACAGCTCCAGGCCAGAGCACATGCAGGTTAGATCCCACAGCTTGGCCAGTGGTAGCCTTTTCCCTACTTGAATTTCATTAATGGTTCATACGCAGAGCCTGCACATCATGCATATGATTAAAACTGAATGAACTGTGGGAGAGTCACATGTACTAGATGCACCTAAGATGATTCGGCACCCCGTCAATCATTTCTGTCAATCATATCCAGAGAGATCCAATGAGAAACACCCAGGGAAGGGTGCACATCTTTTAAATACAAAAGTCTGATTTATCTTTTCCTTCCTATTCCCCCACTGCCCTGGCACCACTTTTGTGGTTCATGCTATCTTTTTGTTTCCATTCACATCGACTTGCACCCTGAGCACACATTACCCTTAACTTCAACACATGTAATTGCTTTTTCTCTTACCATCAGGTGTACACTTGCAATTCTTTATTCACAGTACACAAGAACCTGGACTCTATCTCTGGGACACATCACACACAATATCAGAATAACTTTCCTTCTATAATTAATGGTGAACTTGAACATGAAATAATGACTCAAGTGGTTAGCATTGACCTTGGCACCTAGACCATGATGAAAGAATTGCTCAGTACTTCTAAAGAAGACATACATAAAAAAATAGAGGAGCATAGGAAAATGATAGAAACATTGAATAAACAATACAGGAAATAATTAGAATGCATGGAACATTCAAAGAGATATCCAGGCAATTAAAAATTCCATTGAAAGCTGGCAAAACTTCTTGAATGAAACTGAGGATAGACTTTCAAACCCTGAAGACAGGATAGCAGCCAAAGGAAAGATCTCTTAAAAATAACGAGGAACCGGGAAATAACAATTCAACAGATGCAAGATGGTGCAAAGATAAACAATATAAGACTGATAGGTGTTGATGAAAAAACAGGAGCTAACACAAAGAATATATAAAAACTGTTTGCTGCAGTAAAAGCAGAATGTTTCCCAAGCATGGGAAAAGAATCAATTCACCAATCGAAAGAAACAGCCTGGCAGAGTGGATCAAGAAACAAAATCCAACAATATGCTGTATACAAGAAACATATTTAGTTCAAAAGGAAATCTGTAGACTGAATGTCAAAGGATAAAAAACAATATTCCATGCAACAGGAACCCAGAAAAAAGCAGGGGTAGCTATTCTATTTGCAGAAAATGTGAACATCAAACCAAGATGA